CTAAATGGTCTTATTGCTCATTTTGTTCGACTGGTTTATCAAAAATTATTATCAATTTGTTGATATTCATACCAATTTACCAATCACTGTATTGGCATTAGATTTAGACATAAACCAAAGAGAACCTCAAGAGTACTCTTTTGTAATTTTGATGAAACTTTGCACAATGATAGAGTTAATAGCCAAATCGAACATCTTGAAATATTAGAGGCCTATGAGAAGCGGTTTAATTATAAAAATTATACAAATTTGAAAATAATAGACCTCACGCTTGTAGTGTTTCCTATCAACATATCATATTACGAAAAATTTGCTGATGTTCCATATAGAATAGGTGCATTTATTTAAAAAAAAAATAACTGGTTGATATTACTAAAACGAAAATATAAGTAACTAACAGAAAATATGTTAAAAAAACAAAATTACTTCTGGAGATTTTGGCTGTTAACTTTAGAAAAAAAATCAAATAAATGGGTTTGTTCTTTCTTAGAATCAACCAATGGTACGTAGAAAAACTTTAGTTTTATATCTAAATATTTTTATGTTTGTAAGGGAAACTTATTTGTACTACTACTTCATTGTATTTTTTAGTTGAAGCAAATATAATACTGAAAACTTCTATACATTAACATTTTTTTAATGTGTTTGTTAGATGTCTACTAATTACCAGACAGTTTTAAATTATATGGTAAAATAATAAAAAATGCTAGAAATACTATGTGTAAAAATAATTAAATACAATCTTTTTATTTGAAAAACGAAATATATTGATATAGGCGTGCTTTCTATTAAATATCTAAGTTTCGCAACCAATGAAAAATATAAATTTTATGGTTATGGTACACTTTTTTACAAAGTGTATAACCTTGATCTGGTACTTTGTTAGAAATATTCATCAGCAGAGTTGAAATAAATATTTATCAGAATCCATTAAAGTGATTAATTATTATTTATATTTATCGAAAATGTAATAAATTATAAGAAAATTAGAAATTGATAGAACAAAAAGTACAATATTTTTTCTCACGTTCCCAAATCCGTTCCTTGAAATATTTTCGATGGAATTATATATGCGGGTGCCACGGTATATATAATATGTTAATATGTAAATTATGTATATATACACATTTATATAAACACAAGTCTGTATATCCAACTCTGGGGCTGTGTGCGCGGACAATATTAATATAAATTAATAGGCATACCTTTTGGGAAAAGATTGACAGCTATAATTATATTGAAAATAATATATGTCTTGTGTCCCTTTACAAATAAGCATCATTGGGACACTTTTATGGTAAAATTAATAGCTTATATTTATCTGTTTGCTCGATTTTTTTCTTGAGACTTTTTCTTGGTCATCGCCTGTCACTATAGAATTTAAATAATAATTATATTATTCTTTACGGACTAATGAAGAGGACGTTCGATTTTTTTGGGCGTGTGTAAAGAGTCGTGTTTTGTCGTTGTTTATGGACAATACGGTCAGATAAAATTCTTATAAAACCATCGATATTTGTAATTAGTGCCAGCTTTTATTTGTTTTAATTTAGTACCATATGTTTTTATAAAAAAACGTAAGCATGGATAATATATTTAAACAATCTCATACATATTCATTTACACATATAATCATACCTATATATATATATATATATATATATATATATATATATACATGTATATCTATACAAATATGTACATATGTATGTATACATATGTGTGTAAAATAAATTGCAAAAATTCAAAATCATTTCTTGTTTTATGTAAACATCAGTACATGTTATTAATTTTTTTTAGCATATTTATATATGCATCCTGAGGTTGTCCTTTCTCTTTGTGATGAGACCTATATTGAGCATTTCTACTGCTTGATATCAAGCTAGCCAAAGTGGAAATTGAGACTAAAAACTGTGGTTGCAAAATTAAGCTAATAACAGGAAGCTTTAACTATACCAATTTTTTATGTAAATTTATAATTTATTATATTTAATTTTCTTGTACGAATATAAAATTCAAAATATTCTGTTCAAAACACAAATACGAAGTTACATGGAAAATGATTGAATTTGCTAGTATATAGATATCTATGAAACAAAATCCAAAAAAATAATAAATGGCATGTCCAAAAATATATGTTGTATCTGTTCATGAAACGTATTCCGATACAAATAAAATCTTTAATAATTCTACGTGTTTAGTTTAGTCTCGTATTTAAAGAATAAGGAGTATATGCGAATAATACAAGGCAAATTCAGTATCTATAATAGTTTTTTTTTAATATAAAATAATTACAATTATGAAAACTTATATTATGGCCTTAGATTGAACATAACGATTCAAATACGCCATGGCATGACTATATGTAGTATAGCTATATTATACTTTAATATAGTTATTATATATTATACTCATATATATAGTGCTGATAATATACTTAATATAACAGTATGCAACACTTTGAATTTCATTCATGCAATGTTTATTATATTGAACAGAATTTCTGAAAATCTTTACAAAATGTGTATGATAAATGATAATCTTATGAGAATACGAACTAAAAGACCTTAGATCCATTCTACTCTGCGGTGTAGATTAAAAACCGTAAACAAAATCAATTCAAAAATACTCCTTTAGAATAGTTTGGCGATCTCACAATCAGTTCAACACAAAAGTATTATTTCATCTCTCATCTCCGAGCCACACGGTAAGTTCAATCATAAGCAGAACAATAATCTCATTCGGTCATTATGGAATCGAATTAAGTCCAGACCGAGAAGAGTCCAGCAAAAGGAAAAAGTTGGTATATACAATAAAATACAATCCAATAAAATACAACAACGAGATATACAATATAATTGCGAAGCAATTGTGTCGAAGAGCCAATCGTATTAACGCGACTGGGCTCACTTCATTTGTCAGATGGAGGAATGATGGTAACTAACCGAAGAACAAAGATAATGGAGCGTATTAAACACCTCCAAATGAGATTGTACTTGATGATGGGAATTATCGGATAGTAGTCAGTAATGACATTAAAAGTACCATCACGTTTCCTACAAATCTTATCAGACATGACTCACCAAAAACAATAACACACTGAATGAACAATCCGCTGCCAAAAGTCCATTACCCATTTTTTGGTCTATCGCAGTCTATGCGGCAAAGATTTGCTATAGAAGCAGAAAAAATCTACAAATATATTCTAAAGTCCTCAATGGTACCTTAAGCAACTAATTTTAAATTGCTCACTAGATACTTGGATACAGAACTAAACTAGTTGGTATTGGTATTTGCCTTGAGGCAAGTTACATGAACTTCCTGATATGTGTAAATAATCGACTTAATCAATAATAAACAAATTAATTTATGAATGATAGAAGTATTCCGAGAGGATTTATTACATGTTAACTCGGAGTATTTTCTAAAAGCAAATTTTCACAAATCAATAATTCTTATGATTGAACCAACTTTTGTAGGACGTTAATGGTTTTAGTATGTTCATCAAGACCAAGTAATCTATCGTTATACCAAGTAAATCATCTAATTTTAATTTTAACCAACGTCAACAAAAACTACTCATTTCACCTAAAACTAATCAGTATATTCCCAACTAATACCTTTTGAACTTTTTTGATTTTTTAAAATCGATTCGGTAGAATGAGCTTAAATGTGGTCGAAAATTTTAACACTCTTTTGCAAATTACAAAGAAGAGGCTCGGCAGATCGTCTCACAAAACTGACAAACTATAGTGCTCATTGAAATACATCGAATGGTTTTTAAATTTTTGAAATCGATTCAGGCGTTTTTGAGCAAACGTCGATGAAAGGTTTGATTTTAACAAATGCCAAAAAAAACTATACCAATTTTTGCAATCTTTGACGAATTTTTATAGCTAAACGAGTTGTAATATTTTAGTATGATCTAGAAGACTATGATATCTACCGTAAAAAAAATCATAAAATTCGTCGAAATTTGTGTTTTAAAAGCTTTATTACAAGAAAACGGCGTGGCCAATCTTTACCAAAAACTAATCAGCACGATTCCCAACCAATATCTTTCGAACGGTTTTTGAATTTTCAGAATCGATTCAGAATTGCGGGCTAAAACGTGGACGAATTTTTCTTCACTTTTCTGCTATTTATAAAGAAAAGGCTTGGACGATTGCGGACAAAACTCAGAAATGCTAGTCCTCATCGAGATACATCGAATGGCTTTTAAATTTCCAGTCGTTTTGGAGAAAACGTCGATTTACGGCAAAAAATCTGTTCACACACGCACACACACACATATACTTTTTCCAAATTTGGTCTCATTCGATTCAGGATGGCTTGAAACGTCGAGAAAACATAAAATTAGCGAATAGGATTTTTTTATCAAACAAACTTCTCCTTCGGGAAATTAATAATTTCTCCAATTAGTTCCAAAAAAAAGTACTAGGCAGATGTACAACATAAAAAGTCTACTACCCATTCTTGATTTTACAGTCAATGAAAATCAAGTATTGTTATTAAACTCTTATCCTTTGAATGTGCTCATATGTACTTGTATGTCAATTCTTTCGAACTTTTTCATGTAGACATCAAGTAATGTTCAACGAGGCGTTAATGTAACGGAAGGATTATGCTCACTAATCTTTATATTACATTACGTGCTCCTTTATTAAAAATAGTGACAAAGGATTGGAGAGATTCAGAAAAAATATAAATAAGAGCTTTTGATTTGGTAATGGTTTATTGGTCGATTTTTTATTGCCATAGATTTGTCTGGTATTACTAACATGTAAGACATGAAATAATTAGTTCAATCCATGAAATCTTTAAAAAAATGAATATAAACATACAATTATAAATTTATTCATATCTAATATTTCATATCTCCTAATGTCTATTAGACATAGATTCCCTTATCTGAAACAATATATAAATCCAGATATAAAAATACCTTTTTATATCAACTTTTTTATAGATGTCAACCTTATGGTGGCTGATGAACAGCAGGCGCCTGAAGATTCGGTGTTTTGTGATAAAACATTAAACGCCGAACGAGATTTGGACTTCTAGATAAACCATGGTAATATTGATGTCCTTTTTGAGCTAGTTAGTGTGGTGTCCCATCTTCGGCTGATTATTCAATAAAGACAACGAGATAAACAAAAGACAAATCACATATCAAAAACACGGTAGGAGTTCGGACGATTTTAGGCAAGCCGTGTCTGCGGCAAAGATTCCTATCACAAAAGATTTAAATAAATGTGTAAAGATTCTTGTATTACAAGAGGTTTTTGATAAAAATGCCGATTTTAGTAGTTTATAGATATTTAGAATTTATCGTACTTTATCATATTTAATGTTGAAGGTGTAAGATATAAATTGAAGCTAACTATACTTCAATGGCATCCAAGAAAATAATTGAGCATTCACATAAATTACCTGCAGAATTATATAATCACACAGTATTTTAGAATAAAAAAAAAAAAACTATTACAATTGATGTTTTAGGGGTTTCTGAACATTTTGGGATACCTTAGAAAAATCGATTGTGTTGTTTTTTATATAGCAAAGGAAATGCCTTTATGCATCCCAGACTGTACGTGTGTGTGTGTGTGGATGTGTGTGTGCGGTTGTGCATGCGTGTGTGTGTATGGATACAATTTTTTGTCCACGATTTCGGGCGCACGGCTCAACCGATAAGGAGACGTGCTGATTAGTTTTTGGCAGAAGTTGGTCTAGCCGTTTTGGAGATATGGAGCAAAGAGTGCAGAGATTCATAATATATTTCATTTGTATTTACGTAATAAAGAATTAATTGAATTTTTGCAAAGGCAGGTTCAGCGGTTTTGGGGATCCAGAAAATAAGTCAAAAAATGCCAAATGTCTAAAACCAGATGTGTTCGACAGCCTGGATCAATCGATATGAATGGGTATTATAAAAACTTTCAAAAAATTTCAAAATGTTCAAAATAAAAAGAAAAAGTAATTTAAAAAAAATTCTAAGTTTTCAAAAAGTTTCCTTAAAATATCAGTATCTTTAACAGAGGCAATTTTTTCAATATTCAAATTCTTTTCAAAAATGTTTAAAAAAAATTCAAAATTCTCAAAAAAATCTGAATTGTTTTTCTGAGCTTCTAAAAAATTTAAATTACGGTACGAAAAGTTCCAGCAATTTGCCACAAGGCACAATGCCATGAACCACTAGTTTTCACAAAATTTCTAAGTTTCCTAAAAATATCAGTATTTTTAAAAAGGCAATTATTTCAATTTTCTCAATATTCAAATTCTTTAAATGTGTTTAAAATTTTCAAAAACGTTTGAAAAAAATTAGAATTTTCAAAAAAAAAAATTCAATTTTTTTTTTGAGTTTCTAAAAAATTTCAATTATGGTACAGAAAGTTCCAGCAATTTACTTCAAGGCACGGTGTCATGCACCACTACTTCTTACAAAACTTCTAACTTTCCTTAAAATATCAGTACTTTCAAATAAGGCATTTTTTAAATTTTGTCAATATTCAAATTCTTTAAATGATTTCAAAATTTTTAAAAATGTTAAAAAAAATCAAAACTCACAAAAAAATCTGATTTTTTTTCTGAAATTATAAAAAAATTAAATTATGGTATGGGAAGTTTCAGCAGTTTGCTTCAAGGCACGATGCCATGCACCAATAGTTTCTCATTATAATTATTCTCATATTTTAGTCTGCTCTTGATACTACCTTTATTTATTATTTCCAGATTTGTAACTTAAAAAAAAATTACGAACTATCTTACCTTAGCGATTCTGAAGCAGGCTAGCCCAAACTAGTCCCATTTTCACAGTCATGGACAAGCTCGACATCAGACATTATTGTTGTCAAAATTCCACTTGAAATTACAGATCTCAAATATAGCCTTTTGTGAAAATTTTCCATCGTGGGTATAGCTGCAAAAATAAAATAAATAAAAAGTCAGCAAAAATTCGAGTGTAGTTAATTAGCCGCAACTGGATTGGACAACTACTAGGTGGCCATCCATTCAAGAAGTCATATAATATCGTAAGCACATTTACCAAATGTCTTTGTGTGACAGATTGCAATTGAAAAAATCTTACCTATATATTATATATAAATAAATTAAACACTTACATGTTCCTCATTGCTTTTAGCAAACAATACACTATCCAAATCCATTCGAAAAGCAATTCTTATGACCACAAATCACACCAGAAATAACACTATATTGCATGTGCATCTTTTCTGTAATGGCGGCGATCAATATAAAATAGTTGACGAAGAATTCAGATGATCTTGCACGAATAGTCAAATTTATTATGACGTAGATATGCCCAAATTCTAATATACTAGCGACATTAATTCATACTATCGACACCTGAACCATACCTGAACCAATAATCGATATTTGCTATTAAATCGAAGTTATCGATTTATTCATTCTGTAGTTGGCTATGATAAAAGATTTTAAATCTATTATGTTAATACTATTATGTCTTCGAAGAAACATTGCACGTGCGTTTATGTATATTAAATATTTTTTTCTTTTAAGTTGTAAAATGTATTGAAAATTTTTAGTCAAACACATAAGCGAAGAAGAAACGAAAACAATTTAGAAAAAAAAAATATATTTGAATTATATTATATATATTATATATTATATATAATATATATATATATTATATATTGTATGATTCTAAATTTGATGTTGACATATGTATTAACAAAGTCTAGTAATCGGGAAATTACTACCCGATTACTAGACTTTGTTAATATTTGAGTTAAAAGTCGGGCGTTACATCTAAAAAATAGTATGATAGTTTTTAGAAATTTATTTAAAATCCATACGTTT